ATTGTGCTACTACGGCTACGTAGGACAGGTGGTATCCAGCCCTGGACTAGGCCTCATTAGCTGAAGCGGCCGTCAATCGTGAGTTTCTTTATTGACTCAACAATAGTTATAACGCAGCGTAAGCTTCACATAAAATTGTACCCGTTATTTAAAAAAAAACAAAAACGTCTCGAAATACAATTACAAATTCCTTAGACCTAAATGCATCTAACTAAACTTACTCATAACTTATTTTAGGAACTAATGGAGTCTAACACTCTTTACGTTGGATTTGTTTCCCGCTATTCTTTCAAACGTTTTTTGAGCATGCTCAGAAAAAAAGCTATATTTTCAAGGATGTGTTGCAGTCTTGCTTCCAATTTGTCACGTTGACATCTTTAATATTTTAATAAAAAAAAGTAATGTATACGAACAAATGAAAAGTGCTAAATTTTTACCTACTAAGGATTGCGCAGTGTGGACGCATATATGCTCGCAAATCATACCGATTCCCGAGAGCGGCTGAAGTGGACACCCATATCAGAGCATTGTACAATGCTCATAAGATTCTAAAATCACGAGTCATGCCCGGGCTTTTCCCCAAAACTTCGTATGTCTTCTCGAAACTCCCACACAAAAAAGCAGGCAAAAGAGATGCAATGATCGCTTTCAAGGTGTACGCGTATGGAAGCAAGAACAAATTGGACGGAACGAAAGGTACAGGAAACACTCTGAGTACCCCATTGAATATGCGCTCTCTGAAGTTGCTGTGGTACGTTGGTGTAAATGTGGCGTGTAATTTTCTAATCTTTTCCATCGGTTTTAACATCATGTTACGTAGAATCACCCCAGACTGTAACAGGCGTCAATAAACCACGGTAATTGGTGGTAGGTTTATTGACGGAAGTAAATAAATAATTGAGATACATCATATTTACTGCTCGTTATTGTTCGCTCGCTGGTGCGGAGTCCGAAACACTAAACTAGCTTTTGATAACAGCAGAAAGACGAACACGGCGTGCAGTTGGCTGGGCCATGGAAAAATACTGCGAAAATGGAAAGAAGTTGTTTTTGGCATCATTATTTTTTATTATAGATCTGTGCTCCTACTCCTCTCAAGGAACCTAGTAGAACAAGTTCCGTTCGTCGCTTAGCGTTCCTCGTTTACCTCTTTGAGTGGCGAATTTTGATTCGGGACTGTACAACACAACTAAGTCCTTAAATATTTACGATAGCGTACACCTTTGGAAAAGGGCAAGCCTTTGCTTCTGACAACCAGATTTTCTAGCAACTACGTCGCGCATCTTATGACCTTCGATAAATATCGTATCATTCTCCTCGATCTGGTACTTTGTCAAGCTACACGTTTCTTTTTTCATTTTAAATTAATAGATTATTTAAGAGTTTTTTCTTTCTCCACTCTCGCAGCTTTATTTGTTGAATCGTGCACATAAGAGGCTGCGTGCATATCCAATAAAAATGACCTTTTAGAAAAGTATGCAAAGATTGAAACTTTTACGGAAGTTTTATATTGTTAAATATAAAAATATTGCTTAATGTCACAACTCAGACTGCGTTTTTATGTCTAAACATATGTTTCGGCATCGTCATTCGCTGAGCTGCCTCCGTAAGTTGCGGTGATTGGCTCTCCGAGTGATGTGCGTGAAAGTAGACGCACAGACTTTTTTTAGAGTGTGCTGTTATAGCAGAATTGATTCTTGTGATTATTCCTTCTTAAATCAGCCAGTGGACGATACCCGAGATATAGTGCCTCAGTACCAAGTTCTAAAGGATAATTGTTTAGTCCAAAAACTGCAGAGGTTGAATTTTACATTTTCTACTGAATCAAACAGGGACCGATTTTGATACATTAAGATACATCTTTTATATGAAACACCACTCTCTTATCTTGTTTAAATCACTCCGTAGAATTTATACCTCATCGCCGTTGGACAATTACTTTTATGAAAGGCCGTCGTCAGCGCACGGGGGCGGCCCATAAATGCGTGAGAGCGCACAGTGTAGAGGAAATAAGTTAGTGATACGATGAAGTGCATCATGCGGTGTATTCTGGAAGCAAACCATTCTCACAGAAGAAGTTCCCAATCGGGGAAAAGGTTTTCTTTACGTCAAAAAAGATATAAATTTTCCCAAGAATCGCTTTAGAAGGTTCCATCTCGTAAAAAGGCTGTCACTGGAAAAAGTAAAGAAGGTATAGAAGCATCAGTCGCACGGGCAAAAGTGTTCTTGTTTGCCAGGGAAAGAACCAAAAACGTCTTTTCGTTCAAAGAAAACACGAAGCGTACAAGCCACAAGAAAGTAGAAGAAGCGTGCAAGTAATTTATTCGCCAAAAAATAGATCGAGGAGATTAAATTGGATGTTCTGGAGTGGTAGAGCTTGCGCCAGCACATCCGCACCTCATTCTAGTAGCGCAGTTCGTGCATGCCACCACAGCATCAAGTGCACTAACTGAGAGATAGTTCTCAATAGCGGGCATTAATCGAGGAGAGGCGGACCGGTCTGAATTTGTCCATATTTGCGATACTCTGTTTTTCCTAGCAGCAACCACGACAAGCAAAACGTAGCGTGAGTGTACGTGTCGTTTTCTTGACAGTTGGCACTGAGCTGCGTTTAAGTAGTGGAGGGTTCGTGTTAAAACTGAAACCAGTAGAGCGGGTTTCCATTATTGAACATTGTGACATTTTACGAGTGGTTTACTCCCGCATTACCATATATAACGAGTACTTTGCTGCGTTGAGTGAGCCATTTCCGTGTCCTTTTTTTATTGTTCGGCTTAAAAAAAAAGACACAAGGATATTAGTCTCTCCTTTGTTAAGTTCTACGATTGCAAAAGATGCGTCTGCTTGAAGTGGATTTTACAGAAATAAAAATAAATATTTAAATTTTCTTGCTGTGAGCGCATCTTTCCAACAAAGTTTCAGGATCACGGACTCCCAAAAGATGTCATAATTGCGGTCATCTTTCTAGCGTTGTCAAGTGTCTCTGGAAGGCTGATCGCGTATTCTTTAATACGATAAAATAGTATGTGATAAAGTGACATTCACCGTATGCTGGCACAAAGAGTTATTTGTACAAAATAAGAAGGCGGCTTATATGATACCATCAAGATGCTTTTTTCAACTTTTATTCATCCTTGATTTTATAATGTAAAATGAAGGCGCGGATTGAGGGTGGATGCAACTCCGAACTTTGCGGATGCGGTTCGTATGCGGATACTAAGTCTGGGGATGCGGATCGGAGGTGGATGCATTTACTTAAAGGGATACTGAACCGAAATTTCGAACTTACAAAACAAGGCTGGACAGATAGGCGGGACGATGCAAAACCCAAAAACATCACTCATACAGCGATATCTCTAACGGATCGCCATATTTTTAGAAAAGAAGCGCCCGACTAAACCCGGCCGACGAGGCCGACAAGGCAAGGCACGTCACGATTCTTATTCCCTCTCCTCCTCACTACGTCCCGTGTCGAGCTGGTGAACCGAAGCGAGGAGGAGAGAAGCGAGGCCGCTCCCCCTCATTCTCAAATTCTCCCGGAGGACATTGATGTCAGAGGCCTCGCTTGATCGCGCCCTTCTTTTCGAAAAGTGCGGCCATCCGTTTGAGATATCGATGTACGAGCAATGTTTCGGAGTTCGTAGAGTCCCGTTCAACGCTTCTAGAGCCTTACCTTGCGAAATTCAAATTTCGATTCAGTATCCCTTTAAGATCATCGCGGATGCAGTTCGGGTGGGGATATGGAACGTGCGGATGCGAATTGGATGTGAATGATCGAACTGTTAGCCGCACAGGGCTCTAAATAAAATCACGTCAAGTTTGGGCAGAAAAAAATCAATTTACACTTCACACCATCCTCCCCTTCCCAGCTAACACAGAAAAAATGAGAAAATGGCAGCTTCAACTTTTGTTTGAAAGGTGAGGATTCATTAAAGTGTGTAACAAGATACATTGACCCCAAAAGAGTCGCGACACCGAGAATATACCCAAAAAAACTATGTTCCTACAGAAACCAAAATAAACTCGTAAAAGTGTTTAGCAATACAGACATTAAAAAAAGCATTTCCGAAATACTACCACGTTACATTTCTTTCGCGACACTAACACTCCATCCTCCCCCCCGCCCCGCCCCCCGCCGTACAAAAATATGTTGGAATCAAAAAGCAAACACCCTGTATATTCGGAGTAGAAGTTGCGTTTGTGACATTCGTGGCCTAAATTACTGTCTCTTCGGCTTTGTGTGTCTATTTTGATGTGTTTAAAACCGAAACAAAAACATATCACCACTGTCTAAAACACACGTTATAAGATAGTTATGACATACAGCAGCCAGGAACACCTCTTGTTCTACTCTGTACCGTTGTCGAAGACGCTATTTTGTATCTCTACAACCGACGTCACGGTGGACATACAAGAACACGGTAATTTTAACTGCTGTTAAGCAGCAGCTGGTTTTATATTTCACAAGAAATCAAAGATATTAGAATACGCTTGACATCCACTTTCTTTCGTAATGCAGCAATATGTTCGGTCCCATATATATCGGCGCAATTATAACCACCCGTAAGACATATACCCGCGCATATTTTTTAACATTTCTTCTGAAATGCCGCAGGAGGCTCTCCATATTTCACTATGAAACGAAAAAAAATAAAAAAAGTGAAATAGAACACACATGTACACAGCCCGAGCGACTTTGGTGACGTTATTCATCTAAGAACAAAAGATTGGGAGAATTTTATATTTCAAAATAGAAAGGTGTGGGATTTTCTCGCAGGAATACAACAGCTATGTTTGTCATCTCTCGTGCTACAACAAAAATATTCTGTTGCAGTACTATTAACCTACAGCACACAAGCCGGCACTTTTCTTAGTTCATCGACGTATTTCTTTTCGTAAAGATTAGTGTGCGCAACGGCAAATGACCGGTCTATTGAGCAAGCCTGTGAGCGTGGGGATGCAAGTGTTCGAGACTCCTGCGCTATTCTTTACAGTTTGGGATGGAGTCTGCACTCTGGATGCTATGGATGTCCATTTTTGCCTTTCTGGCGACATGCGTGGCTGTGTGGTTTCGGGAGCGGCGACACCGACACGGTTTTTTCAAGCGCATGGGCATCCCTGGGCCGGAGCCCGACCTACTCTTTGGCAACTGGCAACAACTTAGGAAGGACAGAATCAATGTTTGTATCCTTCCTCAGCTACCTCCCCTTTCCCCCTTCCTTCGCTTGAATTGGGCCTTACAAAAGGGTGGGTTTGAAGCGAGAGGTTACATATAAGGCTGATCCATAGATTGGTGCAGTCTCCGACGAAAGAAATGCGTAGGTTTGTACAGTCTCCAACGACAGCCAATCGCCCTCGTCGCATTACTACACGGCCCTCGATGGAATCTCTCCAGCAGCTTGTGATTAGCTTCGCGGGTAGTGACGACAACAAGTGGCCGGCCCTTTCGCTAAATGTGATTCGCCATATTCGATATTAATCGCAATGTTTAGAATGTAGCACGCGACTTTCCAATGCCGCTGTTGATACATTAAAGAAAACAAGATCAACCTTAGTTCGACATTTTATTGATACGAAATTGCACACAGTAGTGTGCGACAAATAAAATGGTATTATATGTCTCGTCACGCGGCATTAGAAACGATGCGTGTCGCATCGTCGTTACGGAAAAACGCCGTGAATACCGCGGCGATCGAGTAAACTGAAAGCCATTGTTGGACATGGTACTCGACAAAAGTGTTTTAGGAAAGTTAATGAATACTTGCTTCGTGATGTATTTACTACTCAAATTACTTTCCCTGCAATATATCTTGAGTAAAGTACAGATATTTAGTAATGTTGCTTAAATACTTTTAATTATAATTAGTAATTGCATAATTTTGTTTATGGGACTCCAGAATGCTATATATACAAGCATGAGAAGAAAAAAAAAACACGAAATCACAGAGCTTTTTTTTATGCAGTTCCAGGACGATGAGTAGTAACAAACTGGTGAATTTTAAGCAAAGAAGAGAATCACAACTTCTTGTGGGTTCATTATGTACACAATCCACGCACTGGTTTTCAGAGCGCCGAAGTCGATATATATTCGGAGTTCAATACGCAAGTGAGTTACCCAAATGGTCTATTCCAAAATGCCTGAACTTGAAAAAGAAACGCACAAGGGGACAAGAAGGCCTTTTTTCTGTCTTGATGATGCTGATTTTCTTGGTTTCCATAATAAGAAGCGTGTTCAGGAACGCTTACAATTTGGTAGAATTATTGTTCGCTTTTCGGGGGCTCATCCTGTTCCTATATTTTCTCCTGCGTTGCTATTATGATCCGTTCCTTCATAAAAGCTTGATGTGACATGATGATATGGTATGATATGTGAGGCTTTCCCCGTTCCCTCCACACTGTACCCGAGAGTGCCAGACTGATGAAAGAGACTAACATGATTTGACGAAGCGAAGTAAAAAAAAAAAAAAATGTTTATTTTTCTGTTGGTCTTTTCTTATTTCCTTTAATTTTTTTTTTTTTTTAATTTTGTGCGTGCATTTTTGCTCCGGCTCGTTTCCTGTTTTATGTGTTGTCGCTTCCGCTTCAATTTTCCAATCGCTCAATCTCGGGCTGAAATGTGCTAATTTCTCTTTCCATAAAAAAATAATGTTAGCATTTTGTAAAATTACCGGCTGAAGAGGTTCTGGTATAGCACGGGCACACCCTCGGCCTCTTAAACTAGGCCCCGCTGGCTCTATTCATCTGCAGTGACCTACATTGGACTCCCCTAGGTCTCTTTTATTTCTATTTAGCGTATATTTTCCGTCCCGAAGTACATTTTAAGGCGTTACTTTCTTCCCTTTTCTAATCCGTGCATAACTTCATTGTCCGAATTCTCATAACACGTTTTCTGCTACTTGGCGCCAGTTACTTATTAAATAGTAGATTCCCAAAACAATTTTTTTTCAATAATTAAAAAAGAAATTGAGAACAGTATACTAACAAACGCAATTAAAATTGAGTACCAAAGACCGAATATACCAAACGAAGATACCAAATTACCACCAAAGTATTTGAAGCACAGTTTTTTGATTAGAGTATTTCAGATAGGCACAAGTCTGAGAAACAAATTGGCTCGACATTTATTTATTGATTCGACGGGTCATTTCACCGACAATCATTCATTGGCGTGACGGGTGCCAGAGGCTGTCGCCCCGTCATTCGCGTTTCTTTCGTTAGGGACTGTGCAATATAGCAAGCCGGGAACGTCCGATTTTGCGGAATTAATTGGGGCAGCCGAACGCAGCAATCTGCGTACTGAGTTTGGCGAAAGATAAGGCTAAACATTTGCTTTTATCTGGATAAACAGTTTACGTTGTGACACTGCGCATAGTAAAACGTCACTCTCAGCCTCACAACGAAGACAGATTTTTTGTCTTTATTTTTAAAGTCCAGACACATTTCCTTGCTTCTCATTCACCCAGGTTCTTCCGTAGCGTGTAGGGAGTGGCTCTCCCAAGTGCTCTGTGGGAAAGTAAACGCTCCAAAATGTTTAGACAAAGTAAAAAAGGGTTTCTATGTCTGAGATGTTTGTAGGTTGCCATGTGAGCCAATGTTTCGTTTTTTTTTTTTTTTTTTAAGGCCTCCCACAGTTGAAATGAACAAGCCCCCAACCCACGCCTTTTGTTTGAAAGAAAACCGTGGTCGAGAATTACCTCCAGTCCTTGAATATATGAGGCCTAATTTGTTTAATGTTGGAAAGCCGAGTTAAAAGTACCTAGAGTTTGTTGGTTTGACAAAATATTCTTGGATTGGAGCCAGATAATTCGAATCCACAAAGAAACAAAAAAGAAGGAGATCGCAATTTTCGAGAGTCTGATAGGGTTAACGAAGAAATTCGAATTGTTGTTATACCCAGGGAAAGAACAACTAAAACAACGAGATCTCAATTTGACAACAACCGCGCATCGGAATGACGCTATCTGAGTAGCTGCGCAGGATCCGACCTGTTCAGTCAATACCACGTAGAAGACAATCCCTGCGCATGGCATAATGTAGAGTGGATTCCCAACCCGCCCACTCAATGAGATTCGCCACGAGACAGCACACCCGTGCGTCTTGGCGCCGTCCTGGTGCTAGCGTCGTGATCGTTGTCAGCCGCTGGAAGACGCACCAGCTGCTTTCCTGATGTAAGCTTGTCGCCACAGATTGAATTCAATAGTTATGCCGTTAGGGAGGAAAATCGCACGCCTTGGCTTCTTGGTGGAATTCATTCGGGTTGCTTGGAGCTCATTTAAACACCAAGATATTGCGGAAAGTTCGTCACGTTTTATTCAATTGCGACGAAATTACAAAGTAATATGTATTAAACTTCAAAAATTTGAGGCGGATGAACAGTGTTTGTGTTTGATGTGTTTGAAAGTTTAATGAGTTTTCGTTTTCCGATTGGAGGAGGCGTTCGCGGAGTGGTAAAAGAAAAATCCTGGTTCACCCTTAGGATTTGCCACTGTACATTCTTTTGATAAAAATAATTGCAGCAATAAACAAAACCTATTTTATTCTTCCGGATAGTGAATTATTTAGACCAATACTCAAGGCAGTCAACGACCAACAAATGTGGTGACTTCCGGTTGCCATATTCCTCTCCGTTGTCTGAGTGTTACGTGTTTTCCCATCTAGCTTGAGCATTTAAGGGCGCGTATTATCTGAGTTCGCCTCTGGGTGATCGAACTCATGACAGGCAGAAAACGAACGTATCTAAAAGATCATAATCTCATCGACCCTTTCAATCCAACGAATAAACAATAATAATGAAAGCAGCGTTGGTACCCGCTAGAGTCACTGAATGTTCCCAGAGTACCGAATTTCATTCAGTCCGCGTATCGGACGTAAATCCCACAGAATACTGTCTTTACTTGCTGGTTTAGCCCGTGCCGGAAGTTGTCAGTCAGCCATTTGAAAGATGGGCCCAAAAGAACAACAAAAAAACGTGTATAAAACGTTTCCGCGTTACCGCGGCTCGGCGGGTACTTGCAGGTGAAAGCTCTGGGCATCGAGTTACGAGAGAAAGTAAGGCGCGTTAATCTTCTTTATATATTTTTTATATCAAGCAGCCACTAATATGATTTGCCAAAAAAATATAGCTGGCTCGTTTGCTCGATCCGGTTGCGTTGGTGCCGTGTTTCAAATTCTACGCCTCAGAGGCTAAGCCTAACACTCGATTTCGATGTGTTTCGAGGCGCGATAGAGAGGCGAGTCAACGAGGAGCAAGTCACGCACCGCTCGGAATGGAAAACGGCACTCTAATATAAACAAACCTGTGTCGGCACAGACCGTGAACATAAAATGAAGAGCACACACAAAGACGAACGCAACACTGTACGCGCTTCGCTTCGACTGCATAGGGCAGCGCCATGTTGGGGATCGCGACTGCTGCGCCACGACTCGGTTCTGAAACTAAGCTTTGGAGTTTCGCTACTGTGTGAACATTCAGTGACTCTAGTACCTCCAAGTGACTCTTGTACCTGCAAATAAAGAAATATAAAACATATGGTGGGTTCCGGAGAAGTGTAGGGTGTGCCTCTTTGTACGTAAGATGGTTGAGACTATAATTAGTTAGTGCGTGTAGAATACAGCATAATATGCAATAAATTTGGAAGCGACAACCAGAAATGAAAGTCTGGTTCCCGGACACAAGTGTGGTTTCACGTTCTTTATTTTTTTTTGTAAAACGTTTATCCTCTTTATTCTAAAACAGGTAATGGAGGACTGGATTGCAAAATACGGAAAAACGTTCGGCTACTTCAAGGGTGCAGCTCCGTTCATCATCATCAGTGACGTGGAAATGATCAAGCAGTGTTTCGTAAAAGAAGCACACATTTTCTACGACCGACCTGATCCCAGCATTCTAGTAAAGCCATACAATCAAACTCTTCTGTTCCTCAAAGGTGAACAAAATTTTATCAACGCGTGATAATTATCTTCGCATTAAGAAATTTTTTTTTAAAAGTTTATTAGTATCGCAGTGCAAGAAATTCAGGCTAAAAGAAATAAGATATTCATTTTTTAAACTTTCCTTTTAATTGCTACAGCTCATTAAAATAAAAGTCAAATTACAAGAACAAGAATAAAAAGAGTAAGCAAAAATACAAAAGGGAGAGAGATCAATTTGTTTTGTTTTTTCTTCCATCGCGTTCATGATCAAGCTACAAAAAGCAAGAACAGCTTTGTACATCACAACTACGGTGACTGGAATGCGTACCCCGACTGGTGTGTTTACCACGTTTGAAATGTTGCTCCTTTATTTTCACCCGACGACGTTACAGAAGGGCTATTCCGTTGCTTGTCGCCACAGAAAAAAACGTATTTGCGCAAAAAACGTGGAATAAGGGTGGACAAGAAAGGACGCTTGTCCTAGAGCTTGTCTACGCCACCGCCAGGAGCCTTGTCGCGATCCTGGTGGTGGCAGAGCAGCAGAGGTGGACACGGCAGACGCCTATTCTGCTCATAGGTCGCTCTCTAGTTTCACTGTTCACAGAGACCTCAGCACCCTACTTAGAGAAAAAGAAAAGTTTGTATTTTGAATTGGTTTCAAACTGGTCGACCCTTTCAGGTCATATGGTATTGAAGTGACCAGAGGTCTCTTCAATTTATTTACCGCGGAGACAATTTAGAATATGAACCATTTACATCAGTATACATCGCAGACCTATCCCGTCGCTGTGTTGTCTCGAGCCCCCTTGCACACGTGTCTCTTCTTTCTCTACCACCACAGCTGCCGTTTCCGCTACACAAGCTCCGCCCCTAACAAGAAGATCCAGGGTAGGATCTGCTTGCAAGTAAGCTCGGATGGCATCTAACAGACGGTCGCCGGTTGCGAGGGGTTTTGTGGCATGTCATGAACGTTGTGAGTCTCGTTCCGCTTTTGTTTGGTTGGCAATATGGGCGTAAAGAACTCGGGAGCTTAGAGTGTTCGCATGTAATGTAGTGTGCAGGGCAGTCAGTGTTCAAATGAGGGTAGTAGTGTCGTTTGTGTGATTGTGGAAAACAGTTCGACATAGTCAGGCGCATACACTGGTTGGTGTCTATGAATGCAGGTTTCAGCCTATCTACTGACACGGTTTCGTTGCGTCCATTGATGTCAACGTGGATATACTTGTCGTGACGGTCCATGACACGGAAAGGACCATCGTACGGAGATTTTAATCGTTTTCGAACTGCGTCGCGACGAACAAATACGTGGATGGAAGTGATGAGGTCGTCAGGGACGTACGATTGTTTAAGTCGTTGCATTCGCGAAGCTACTGAATGAAAAGTACGCATGGCGCCTCGAAGTTGGGTGACATAATTGGTAGGATCCCCTTCCGGACATTTGTGGCTGCAGCTGAAGCATTTTACCCGAAAAGTTTTACTGGATTTGTTCGCCTGTCCTCCATAGACAAGTTCAGCCGGGGTGCAGTTGATGTCCGTTTTATGTGTCGCACGTAGCCCGAGAAGCACCATGGGAAGTAGTGTGCTCCAGTGGACGCGATCCTCCTGAGCTTTCAGTGCAGCCTTGAGGGTTCGGTGGAAGCGTTCGACGATGCCGTTGCTGATGGGGTGGTATGCAGTCGTTAAAATTCGTCTGGTTGCAAGAAGTGCCGAAAGTTCACGAAACAATGCGGACTCAAAATGTCTGCCTCTATCAGTAGTCACAGATGACGCTACCCCAAAGCGGGCTTTCCAACCAGCCACAAAAGTCTTCATCGCCGTTTGAGCAGAACACATCGACGGGACGACGAGACACGAGACAGAACTCACCGACGAGAGAGGTCTACGACGATAAATAGTCTCCGCGGTAAATAACTTGAAGTTACCAGAGGTCTCTTCAACTTATTTACCTCGGAGATTAGTTAGAATATGAAACATTTACGTCAGTATACATCGCAGACCTGTCCCGTCGGCGTGTTTTGTCTCGAGCCCCTTTGCACACATGTCTCTTATTTTTTTACCACCCCAGTTTGCTTGTCCGCTACAGTATCATGAGATACGGGTACCCGTTCGATAAGGGTTCTCGTTGTAAACGGGAAAGCGTTCGATGTGGGCACACGTTTGTTATGGCAGCCTTTCAAAGAGGCCTCTTGAATACGGCGTCAAATCCTTCGTTAGACCCAAATTGGTACCGCCTGGAAGGGGTCGGCAAAGCGCAGGTAAGTAACAAACCTCTAACGCATTCTTAAAAACACAAATTTATTAGGGTAGGTTACTTAGGAGAATTCACTTCCGCGATCAATCCATTTGAACGAATAACCTTGCGTAAGTTAAAAGAAAGTTAAAATATAAAAGGCATTGGTCTGCACATGAGCTACATTGTAAAAGTTTAATTCTAGGAACCACTTCGTTACGGAGTAGAGTGGAGTTGTGAATTGTGAAGGTCTGAATGGTATCGAAGGTGCCGGGCAAAGAAGCTGACCATGGAACCGCCAGCTCGCAGCAGATCATGTTCACTTCTATGGTCGGTTGAAATGCTTGTAGCACGCGCTCTTCTCAACTCTCGAAACTGGGTACTTAGACAAAAGCAAGCGGTGGGACACATAGGATTTTTATATAGCTTCGATTATATACAAAATATAAAAACCCACGTTTTCACCTTACGATGAACCGCACCGGAAGGTACAAGCCATAGGAGTAAATCCAAAGCCATATGAGTGCCAAGCATGAAACTCGGAAATGCCAGGGCGACGCTTAGCGCAATATCCTAAGTAATAGCCCATCTCAAATTCATAGCGAATCGGATAAAAATAGGGGGTGGGCTAACTTTCAGGGTCCCACCCTGAAAGTTAGCCCACCCCAAAGTTTCAACGGTCACAAAAATTTAAAGTTTTAAATTTTTGTGGCCATTGAAACCTGTGCAGGCGCAGGAAGGAGCGCAGGAAGGCGTGATGAACCAGATACGAATTTCCTTCCTAGTGAACAATGTTCATTTATCTCCCGCCGTAGTTAAGTGAAAGCTCTGTTATGCTTCGACGTTGATCATAGCAAACGCGGCGTAGCGCAGCCCACACAGATAGAGATTGGTCGCAGATATCGAGTTTCTGCTCGCCAGCCGCTGAAATGCGCGCGTTCTGCATTATGCAGCGTTCGCTGCTCTCAATGTCGGAGCATAGCATAGCCTTAGAACCTATTCTGCCGATGACACGATTTACCAGGGTCTTCAAATTTCTAGCAATATAATTGCTGGCGCTTCTCCTGGCGTTTCGAAAAAATAACAAATCATACCAAAATTAGGGGTGGGGTATCTTTACGTGTTGGCCGTATTTGGGTATATTACCGTAGTATCGTGATGCATTTACAGTGCTGGATTGACTGAGATGGCTTGTAGCGTCGGCTTTCATGCATTGTAAAGATAAATTAGGTATAACGCCGGCAAGAGGATACAGAGCTTACCTTGTAGCACTTTCCCGGAAGCCTCATAGGATGTGGTCGGCAGAGCGCATCGGTCATACACCCGAACGCCTCAAGCCACAACAACGATTCACCGAGAGCGTAAACTCCCTATTTATTTCTCTATGTTTTTCTCCTGCCCGCAAAGCAGCAGTCAGCTAACCGGTTGGGCCAAAACTTCTAACCGGTTTGACCAAACTAAAACAGGTTTGATCAAACTGCTCACCGGTGTGATCTAACTTGTGTGCAGCTTCAAACCACATCGCCACGACACTGCGCGGTGTGAACAGGTCTGCATATCGCTACACTCAAACAGGAGCGTTTTGATCAAGGGATCGAGGAGTTCGCTCATACCGGGAAGCGAAGGTTCAAACCGGTTACCGGTATGGTTGAGCTGCTGCCGGTTTGAACCTGTTCATATTTCAAAACTGCGTTTTTTAGCATGGCGACCAGGAAATGGGACACCTTAACGACAGCGGTACCCGCTATCCTTCGTACGATTTTGCCAGAACTTCTAGTTACAACCATCAGGATCGTGACATCCAACAGTATGACACGCCGATATCGTGACGTCCTTTGTTGCCATTTTAGGGGAAGTTTTGGTTAATAAGCGGGATATGACGCTAAACACACCAGTTGGATAAGCGTTCCGAGCATCGTAATCACTAAAAAAGGTTTTTCCACACATGCTATATTATCGGCCGACGCGATCGATTTACAACGAATAACATTATGAATGCAGGTGACGAATGGAAAAACGTGAGGACGTTGATGAACCCCAGTTTCACGTCTGCCAAGATGAAGCTAATGACGGGCATCATCGACGCCTGCGTGGACGAGATGGTAAAAGTCTTGGACAAAAAGGCGAAGGATGGGGCCCCCGTGGACGTGAGCAAGGTGTCCTGCGGGCTGTCTCTAGACGTCGTCGCCAAGTGTGCTCTTGCCTGGCAGGTAAGTTGAAGCTCCTAGCGTCGGGAAATACGTACTCAAGGAAGCACCACTTGCCACTTGCCGTGTAATGTCCCCACAAAAAACTGCGACGAGAGCTAAGACGTGGCACACTGTTACACAAAGTTGCCCAGCAGTTTTGAGATAGAGAAATATTACATATTACAACCGAAGCCCTCAGAAAGTAAGTCAATCTTTTGAAACCTTGATTTCTTCCTCAGAGGTGGCTGAATCGCAAGGCGCAGCATCAGGTTTTTGTCTTCTTTGTCCTGGGTTGCTTTTAACACGAAATGTGTTCATAAGCTGGATTTCATGGAAAAGTGTGAGGTTTGAGCGTGATGAAAAATAGTTACATGTAGGCCAAGGCAGCATAAAAGATAAATAGCCGGTAGCAGGGAATGCATAAGCATCGAAAGCCTTTAGAAAGTACACTTACACATATCGTTTCGTTCATGAGCATGGCTAGCAACACACGGTCGAACCCAGATAGATTTCTAAAGGATATCAGAGTGAATAAAACCGCGGACCATTGAATCCGCAATCCGACATCGTTGCTGACGCCAGAAGTAGGATTTTTAGCTAAGAATCACTCGCATTCGACTGCATTGTAAAGCAGCACGCGACTGACCGCGCTAGTGATATATTGTTCATCATAATTAGCTCGATTCCACCGTCGAAGCCGAGTCATACTCAGTCGAGCATACTTTGTCCGCAGGCTACAGACGCTGGCTAGTTATCCGTGGTTTAGCGTACTTTGACCACAGGGGACTGCTGGCGGCAATTCATACTTAGTCGACATGCGATCGTAGTAGGCGAGTTATACTTAGTCGAGAGTGCTCGGTCTGGAGGCAACTATCGGGGGAGAGTCATACCCAGTTCATTATACTCAGTTGGCAGGTAATTGCTGACGGGGAGTCACGCTTAGTCCAACATAATTATTTTTAAATCCGGTCACAGCCAACGCTATGATCAGGTGGAGCGAATCAGGTATCGAAAAAAACGCATCGCCTCGGCGCTTTTATTTCGTGGTTTTGCTATTACTGGCTAATTCAAACAGGTGCAAAGAAACCAAGGGAACACATTGCATTAATTATGCATGATAGATTTAGTCGGTGATGACAGAGGTACAACAATAATGAGCGTCGTGACGATGCATTTTTTGGCCCTGGTTAATTAGCTCCATTAAATTGTAGCGTCGGGTGCAGTCCGACTTAAAGTGACTAAGTATCAATCGCAGGCGACTTTCGGCGCCGATTGATACTTAGTCCAGCATAGCGTCGAAGCGCGAAAATGGTTCCACACATAGCGCACCTCCCCACTTGGACTAACGACCTCGGACAAAAGTAAGTTGATAGAGTAAATGGCACAATAAACCTCCTCCCCTCGCGATTACTTTCGTCACAATAGGTTCTTTACAATTCATGATCACTAAGAATGCAAATCTTTAGGCATACCCATGAACTATTCTTCATTAAAACGCGCCCCCGGCGGACACTACTCCTGAAGGAGTTTCAAGATGCCTTCAAGAATCTGATGAACCCGAAGATCAGGAGAGTGCCGTGTGTGTGTGCAGCGCATTGGATACCACTCAAAGGTCCCCGCAATCAAGCATTAAATCATAACCCACGCATTGTACAGGCACGATGCATTTTGTGCTTTTCGGCTTTATCAAAATGATAAAAATATGTTTATGGTTCTCCTTGGAATATATATTTTTTAAATCTCTAGTTCCACCTAACCAGACAGATTTCTGTTTAAACTTTTTACGTTCCCGCGTGTCAGTGTACCAGACTTATGTACCCTCAGAATTTAGTGAACGGTGCTTATGTGGCATCGCGATTTTTCTGGACGCCGGGGCATCGCGTGATACTGTGAAGAAACGTGAAACTAAATCCTGACTTTTTGGCTGGATTTGTTTGGTGTGTTTATGACCCGCAACAGGTGGGTGTGGTGTACTTTAACGTGATAAAGGCATTCAATCAAGTGTATTGCCAGCGCCTATAGGCCGAATAAAGTATGTACGATTTATGCCCCAAATATTGAAAACTTTTTGAGAGCTACCTTACTAAACAAGAAAACTTCGTAAGGTTGTCTTGGCTATGTCGGGCGTCCCACAGAGAAGCGATCTTGGCCATCCTCTGTTCATAATGTTGTAAACGACCTTACATCATACGGGAACTGCCAAAAAACTATCTTGTTTTCCAAAGACATAAAATTGTATCTACTGAGGAATGGTGTGAATGACTGCTATTCCTCGGGATAATATATTATCTCTTTCTTTGTGGTTTATGTCTATTGATCTTGTAATAAACGAACCTGAATATAAAGTTAGTCATATCAGCAGGATAGGTGATGTTTTCCAATGTCGAAATGCTTGATATACTACTGTTATTAGCCGTGTCTATTTGATTAGAAACTTAGGTGTATATTGTACGCTAAGATTTATTTTCATCGCCAGGTTACAAATATTCTCAACTTGTCTCTCCGTGGTTGTGGTGTCATGACGCGTATATCGAATTATTCTATATTAAAAAAAACAAAAAAACACAATGTTTATTAATGTTGTTTTGCTTTTTTGAAATAGCCACCTTCAGTTTTCTTAGAATTCAATCTGATTTATGAGAATATGTACACTAACTGGCTTGCACCATTTGTGTAACACACAAATGATGTGTTGTACCATGTTATTGCATAAGGTTGTTGATGGTGTTGATTGCACAGCGTCGCTCTAGTGGAGATTCACGGCTTCCCCAAAGCCATAGTCGTGTACAACCATCGTTATATCCCGTCGTTTTACTCAAAACTGAGCATATTACCCGCCTTCAACTGGTTTTTAACTAATTCAAAGGCAGCATAGATAAACTGAATTATGATATTTTTTGGATGAAAACAAACATTCAAAACGTGAACAACATTTTCCTTTCATTTTGAACCGTACCAACATTTGTTTTTCAGATTTAAATTCTTATTAGTGACGAATGTAGAAAGAAGTCCTTACGTCGGTTGAAGGAAGGAAACAGGACGAAGGCAAGAAAACTCCTAAACAAAAGCGCCCGAAGTGTTGTCAGCCATGGGATTCGAACACACGCCTCAGCCACATGCCGCCAGAAATCCTTGGGTCCTACACCTTGCTGTTGCAGCATTTAGAGGAACGTTTTGGTAAGGGCCTCAACGTCACCCTCATCCGATTGAGCTACATCACTGACATCAAGCGCACGGTGATACGTTATCCCAGATAGCTAACGACATCGTGCGTCTTGCACTTTTCTTGTTTGTCGGGTTTTCCCAACACACCGTACATGCGGTCAGCACTGTGTCAGTCATAGATGCTATTGCATCTGTGCAGATCTAAGATGTAGTGCGTCTTTTCCATCCCCACACATTTCGGGCTGGTCACATATATCGATAAAACACGGAGACCGCTCGCAAGGTATCACGGTGGACAACCATGCATGCGTCAGTCGCGATCATTCTTCCGACGATGAGTTTCTTAGGATTCCAACAACAAAACCACAGCAGAACATATTGTTCTATTCTAGGTCAAGATATTCAACTTCTCCCTGGAATCAAATTAAACCTGCTCTATTGCTAGACCGGTGCTCGGTTGACCTCTGCAGTCATCCCATTCAGCTATACGAGCAAGACTACTGCTTCTTACCTTGAAAAGGATGACGCTGTTCAACTGGAAATGTTTATATCCCGTTTTTTGACGGAATCCTGCACTAGCAACATCGATTTACGAAAATTAAATCTGGCCTTACAACGATTTATAATCGGTGACGGTGCATCCATTTGGCCGCCACCTCGCAAAGTGCCACTGGCTAAGCGATCACACGTAAATAAAATTGTTGAAGAAATGGTCACTCACAGTGTTATTTAGCTTGGTTAAAAATAGGATGGATCGACTCAGTTTTCCGGGGACTGCAGAAAGATGACTGATGTGACAAAGAAGGATGCCTTTCCATTGCCACGAACAGATGATATCTTAGACGCTCTCGCTGGCTGCAATTGATTATAGACTTTCGACCTGAAAAGTGACTACGGAAGGCTACAGTATATTCGTCGGTCGGTGAAATAACAGCCTTCAACATAGGGAGTGGAATCCACCATTTCACAATTAGGCCAATCGAGTTATGTGACTGGGCCACAACGTTCACAACGGCTGATGGAAAAAGTTCTTCATGGACTGACGTGGCCTGTGTGTCTTGTTTATTTAGACGACATTGTTTTCTTGAGACGACATTCCCCAAAAATATGACAACTATCGAGATGGTCATCCAGCGATTTTATAACGCAAACCTGAAGCTGACTAAAAAAAATGCACCATCATTTCCTAGGAAACTTGCTATCTAGGAAACATAATTTCATACAGCCATTTAGATTTTTCCTTAGCCAGAGAGGTTTGTGTAATAACCCAGCGGCCGACCGCGGCATCCCTTCGGACGTTCTGAATGTCTCTTCTCCTAACGAAATACTACCGCTGATTTGACCCTTAGTTTTCAAGAATCTCCAAACCGGTTTATGCTCAGACTGATGAGTACAAGGTGTTTAACTGGTCCACAGACTGTACTATGTTTAGGCACTTAAGCATGCATTAATATCACCCCCTGGACTGCATTATTGAAGGAATGACGCATTATTCATTCTTGATACATATTCAAACAAAACTGCAGCCGGTGGTATTCCCTCTCAACAACTCCACCCCAAGCAAATCATCGTGTACTACAGGAAACGATAACGTAACTGTTGTACCACAAGACGCAAGCTTCTTGATATAATAATGGCGATTTTTCACTTCGATTACCATTTCCGGTCATCGTGTGATCTGAGAGACGCCTTCAATGTGCGGTACACTCTCTACGACACCGTTAGCCATCGTGTGATAGGCTGTGGTATGAATACGCGAGCAGCCGATTCATTTATGAGCTCGCAAAACAGAGCATACTTGAACTGTCTGACTCGGCTCGAGGTGATATATGAAGGAACGACAAATCGGGAAACCCAACGGGGAGCAGATGTTGTAGCAATATTTTCAGCTGTGATGTAGGAAATGGGAAATGCTTCAGGTCAAGGGAGGGGGGGGGGGGGGCGGTCGATGCGTGCAGGTAAGTATGAATTTTCCGCATACGACGGAAAGAGAACCGCGATCTCCATATTTACTCTTTCAAAGCGTGCCGCCGGTGTCCGAAAGTATGGTATGGTGATGCTGTATGACGATGAACGTTGGACCACTGACAAGACAGGCGCGTTCCCTAATGAAAACGCCGTTTGTATGAGAAATATCTTGTGTCCCAGAAACACACAGGAATCAGGCAAGATATATAAGAACATACAATTAGCATATATGAATTATATAAGAAGAATATAAGAAACTCAGATATAAGAAAGAAACAAACTTTGAACGCAGCCGAAATAAATGTCGTTGAGAGTTGAAAGAGTTATATGCGTCTGTTTCCGTCCCGAATTTGTGTTTATTCTTTCCGGTTGTTTAAATCATAAGGAACTTCTCACAAGTTTCTTATATGGTTCTTATATGTTCTTATATGGCATATGTAGTTCTTATACAGTTGTTAAATGGTTCTTATGTGATTCTTATACGTTCTGAGATATCTTGTATGATCCAGATATGTTTATTGAACACAGAAATTTGTTATACAAATTAGATCTTTCAATAGGGAGTTGGTTCAAATTTGTACTTTGTAATCTGTGGCAATACAAAAAGTTGTGTGAGAAAACCGCTGTGCTGCTGAGACGCATGTTTGCGGAAGTGAGGGCAGGGACTCGAAAACCTGCCGCAAATATAGGGGTAATAATGGGCGTGGTGCACCCGTGCGTCATTCACGGATGAGAAATGTATCGGACATTGCAAGATTGACTTCCCGTACATCGAGGCTGCACCGCGACTAAAATACGTTCTTGACATTCCGTGTCCTCACGTTGAGCATTGACGCGTCTTGAAGAGAGCCATGACTTCGTGAGAAGCCAACTGTCTATCGACTTTCAGCGATTGACGCCACGCTGTAACGAGCACAGCGTACAAAAGGTATATTACTTTGGTGACAGAGTGGGAGTATATAACCCCCTAGAAAAGTGTCGGTGGTATAACCCACCGAAACTTCACGAATTCTGGCAAGGGCCATTAATGTTGTCGCCCGCCTTAAAGGCGTTGGGCACAGTGTGATACACTAAACTCGTTCCCACATGCTCGTATAGTAACAGCGTTGCTCGCTACGAGGGTATCTGTACATAAAATGAGAATCGGAAGTTGCTATTATTGGAGGGGGAATATTTTGACGGTTGTTGGAAGAATAATAAGTCGTCACGTTTGGGACGAGCACTGAATGGCTTGGGGAAAGAGACCACATAAATAAAATCGTTACATTATAATGACATACTGCACCACTGGATGTGCGTGCTGCGGTTTATGTAGTGCTAAAAATAAATCAACCGAATGAAATTTATCTTTAATCTGATCAACTCATGATGTCAAACTACGTTTTTATACTGTGTACTAAAAGTGCCTGTGATCTTAATGTACGAAGGGATGTCCCCACGGCAACAACCAAATATTTGTCATTCTTATTCATTAACATTGCTCATTTTTTTTATGTGTCCTAATTTGAGTGAACAGCATAAATAAGACAATTGTGCTACGAGGTAATAGAACAAATAACAGCCTTTTATTAGACAATTTTTTATGACGCGGGATGAGGTCAAAATAAAACGAAATTGTCAAAAAACGTTCGACTAATATTATCGCGGTCATTACCTCCTACTACTCATCATACTTCAGCCACAGTTCTCAGAACCAAGAATGATGCGCATTCAGTGCCTTATTCGCTAATTCCTTGGATGTTTTTCTACACACAGGTTGACTGTCAGAAGAGCCCGGACGACCCCTTCGTCTTGAAACTGCGAAACATCGTCCAGAACTCAGAGACGCCAGTCACAAATACCTTCGTGGCGTTTGCGTCTCTACGAAAGCTGGCGGCGTTGATATATCCGCTCACAAAGCACGCGAAGGACACATTCTCGATCGTTGAAAACCTGCAGCGCGTCGTCGAGCTCCGCCGACGAGACTCAAAACACCGTACAGTCGACATGCTGCAGCTCTTACTCGACGGCCAGGGCGGCGAAGACGCCGAAGGCAACACAGTTCATACGGAGAAGAAGGGAGGTCAAAGCAGGCTCCTCATGAGTGACGACAGGCTTCTCGCAAACAGCCTTCTCATGCTTCTGGCGGGTTTCGAGACCACTGCCATGTCCCTCACGTTCATGATCTACCTTCTTTCGCAACATTTCGATGAACAGGAAACTCTCTACAATGAGCTCGTTGCCGCATCTGCAATCAACGATCTGAACTATGAAAAATTGATGCGCCTCCGTCGTCTGGACATGGTGGTACGGGAATGCTTCCGTCTCTACCCCCCTGTTGTACTTTTCCTCTCGCGAGCCTGCAATGCCGACACGAATATCATGGGACAGTTCTTCCCCAAAGGCTCCCATGTCATGGTCCCAGTATGGCATATCCACCACGATCCTGAGATATGGCCAGACCCCTTCAAGTTTGATCCGGGAAGGTTTGGTCCAGAAGCCCCGCCACATCATCCAGCCGCTTACATTCCGTTCGGGCTGGGGCCCAGAATTTGTCTAGGGATGAGGTTTGCCCTACTCGAGTTGAAAACTGCACTCTGCAAGATAATCAGGAAGTACAGAATCGTCCCATGTGAAGACGCGAATGCACCGCCCGAGTTGACCGTGCCGATTTATATCATCAATCCAAAACACCCCATTAAGGTTATGCTTCAGCCAAGGTAACGCTGTGGCACACAAAATTATGCGTGATATTAGATTCTTGACAAGTGCGTATACTTTTCAACATCTATTGCGGAGCTAACTACTTACAATATCATATTAGCTCGTGGTAATTTGCTTGGATTATACTGACCTCCCTTGTTTGTAATTATACTTCGTAAATATGTTTGGATAACAGATGAGCCAATCTTGATGAGGAGAGGATGAAATCTTATACACGCCATGTTCCTCTGTATTATTTTCCAATACTACAAATCACTGCAGGAATAAATTTAGAGCATTTCGTTCGAAATATCAATGAAAATTTCGTTTGGCAATCGTATCCTGGAGATATTTTTAAGTTTTACTTATTTTATTTTTCATATGTGTACTAGTCTTTCAGTGTCATTTTGCGCTCAAGGACTAGCGTCCCATTGTAAGAGCCCTGTACCTAGATCGCCCGCCCAAGTTTTGTGTTTGCCAAAATCATGACGTCGTATGTAGTCCAGTCGTATGAATTTGTTTATCAACACTTGTTACAAGCATAGGAGATTGTGTATGCAAGGGTAATCAGGAGCTCACTTCAGAAGCGTTAAAGACTGGTCTAGTGTTTGTTCAATCATTATAAAAGAGAGCGCACAAAATACTGATTAAAATGAGGACGCCTACAGCGTATATCTTCGCTGCTTTTTACCCAGGATTTTGTGAGCTCGGTCTTATATTGAGAGATTTCAAGCCCGCCCCTTCTGAACATTTACGTGTTGGTGGGCCCGAAAAAAAAAAGTCACGTATAATAAAGAAGGAATATGCTGCCCTCCGCCTGAACCTTTTTTTTTCTAATACGCGTATCTAACGTTAGTTGTCAACCCTTCCGCTAAAAAGGCGCATGTTAAATTAACAGTGAAATTCTAATTTAGAGTAAAGCTGTACATCACATTACATGAGCGAATGTTAAGCTGCACATCATACTTTTTTACTGGCAGACTCAGGGACAGAAAGTGCAAAATCGCGCATGCCTCTTTTCGGGCCAACTAATATGTGTGCTCTCTTCTTTCACTGGTAATGAATGTAAAGACTGCCATACATTGTGCATACATGTACATTATCATTATAACTAATTATTTCCACAGCTCAAAACTATGAAGAGTAAAATATTCTGCAAAATATAACGCCTAATTAACCTATATATGGTTTTGAGATGCGGAGAGGCGATACTAAAGAGCGCTTGAAATGGTCGACTACTTATATCTAAGGCTCTTATGCTACTTTCTGCGTCGCACTACTTTGGGGGTTCATCTGCGGACGCTCAGATGGTTCTGTTGTTTTTTTTTTCCTTTTTTTTTGTGGTACAGAGAAAATTTGAGGTTTTCATTTCTCCTCGTACTGGTTCCCGCAGGAACAGCGGTTTGAACAGCACCAATCAACCGGCCCACCCCTGACAATTTTTGCAGGATGCCGGAAAGCTTATTTTTCTGGGTACCTGGGGCCAAACGAATGTGTTTCGATTGCAGCGTGAGGTTAGTTTATGGTGTCCAACAACTAACCCCTGTGAAATAGTAGTTTGTCAATTTGCCACAAAGTTCGACAATGACTTTTTCTTGAGTCTACCTGTTCGCTGTTCGTTTGTCCACTTCCGCAGGGCATAGCTCAACGGACCGGAGAAGAGCTTCCATTGTCGGCATCGAACACGTTCGCTGGTCCTCTAATATCGGGTACTTTTTTCGAATGGAAAGGGGGGGGGGGGGGGGTTGCCGGCCATTGAATTTGGTCGTTATATACATGCATTTCTTTTGTATTTGCCTTATTAGCTAGTCAATTTGCACGCGGTATTCTTCAGCACTTACATTTACACATATGAAATTAAATTTATGGCCACATTCACCGCCACATTTCTTTATACAAAAGATGGTCTTGGAACAGTTGGTGCATGCGTCGCTCTCCTGTGTCTTTTTGACAATGTCGCTCCGAACACCAATACAATAATAAAGTGGTAGTGCATGTATTGCGTGTATTGCACGATGTGACATCTTTTTCCTATATATGCAATGAAATAATTTATTTATAAATACCCACATCTTTATGTGAAGGGTGTTCGAGAATTATGTGGTTCAGTTGAATGCAATTTGTTCGTCAAACATAATCTAGCAAAACACTTAAAAAACTGGTAGTGGAACAACGTAGGAAACCAATAGATAAAAACAAATTACATTAGAGACTGTACTTAATTAAAAAATAGGTTACCAGAAGGCGATGAGATTCAACTACTGAACTCTTCCGCCTATGGCTCAATCAACCCAAAATTTCAACGTAATTTTCTGTTTTTTAGGCTTTGCATAATTCAAAACGACCTCTAAGCTCCACTAATGCTTTCTGTGCGAGCAAATCGTCATGGTAAGTTGGATGACTATGGTAAAATAAGCATATAGTTTCAATTGAAACTTGATTTAAGTAGTAAAAACCTCCATATCAGTCAAATAAAAAAAAAAAAACTTACAGCGCGTGATGTTAGCCACGGACAACGTATAAAAAGAGTGCCAGACATTGAATCGTGCGCAGCCGCCAAAGGCAGTAACCCTTATATGTCTTTGCGCCAAAGGGCGTCGTGCTGTGATCTTTTGGAGCTGCGATACACGACTTTTGTGACCGCGTGAACGAGCACAATGACTGTTTTATCGTGAACTGAAGAACAGAGCGAGACCGAACGTTAATACTTCATCAAACCCGGCGAATCTAAAACAGAGCATATTGTATTGATAAGCAGGATTATGCCAAAAAAAAAAAAACGTGCAACGTGCATGCCAATTTTAGCAGCCCTCAAGCTTCAAGAATGGAAGAACCACATTGGAATGCAAAAGGTTGCATACGTTTATTCACACAAAACATCTCATATTCAAGATAACTTTATAGCGGCAGTTGGCGTGCGAGAAGGGCCTCGCCACCGCATTGGAGGAGCCTGCAGCCGGCGTGTAGGTCGTTTAGAATATGCATAAAGTATAACCCGAACCCCGGATATTTCTATAGCATTGCACGTTAAAAGTGTGTAACTATTGCTTAAGACCTACACCAGGTGCTATCTTCGCTAAAATGGCAATATTGAATGTTTATTTTATAATAATAAGGCTTTAGTTTCTTCGTGCACCAGAACAACCTCGCGATTTTGTTGCGGTAGAAATACCTAGAAAGTTTATGAGATTCATGTCATATACATTCAAAGACGATGGAAATTTAAACTGTGGAGCTCATCACACGAAGGTCATAAATGAACCATAAAAATTAACTCACACTAGACAAAGTCTACGCTTCTTGGAAAATTAAAGACATGAGCAATCCTTGAAAACGAATTTCCGAACATAATATCCCACAAAACAAAAAAAGGTCTATACCAGGGGTGGCCAAACCGCGGCTCGCGAGCCGCATGCGGCTCTTTGCTGGTCCAAGTGCGGCTCGCGCGGATCCCCCGTAAGGGGACCCCCCCCCCCTCCCCTCCCCCGCCCCTTCCTGCGTTTCCCCAGGAAAAAAAAAAAAAAGAAAGGATTTCAGAATAAAGCACGGCTCGCGGTTTGGCAGCCTTGTACCCCCATACGTACAGTCGTGCAGCCTGTGACCCCATACGTAGTACAGTCAGACTGAACAAAGTTTAAGTTTTGACTCCCCCCCCCCCCCTTTCCGCGGCTCTTAGAAGTTTCGTAATTTCGTTTGCGGCTCTTAGGTCGGGTCAGCCTGGCCACTCCTGGTCTATACCATCAAGAGAGTACTAGACATAATGTTTACAAGCTACTTTACTTATTTATTTATTTATTTATTGTACATACCCTCAAGCGCCAAAGCATTGTAGAGGGGAGGGGCGAAGCAAACAAAAATAAAACAAACTGACAAAAAAAACTCGGCAAGAAATTCAAATATCAAAAACACACTGCCATTGGCAAAAGCAGTAAGCAATATCTGTTACGGACAAAATAAACAAAATAAAATGACTTATGTTGGCTCACCAAACAGAAATGTAGACAAAGATTGGCGAAAAAGAAAATAATCAGGTATAGTTGCGATATCTGCTGGAAGGTGGCTCCAGTCGCTTGATGTATACGGGATAATTGAGTAAAAAAAGTGTTTGTTTGGCAACGTGTCGATCCAACTTTATTGGAATGAACCAGACGGGAAGAGTAATAGTTAGGCAATGTAAAGAAATGGTCTCGCAGCGACTGATGATGATACACTGTATGAAACAGGCAAAGTCGAAAAAACTTTCTGCGCAATGACAAAGAGGGTAACAACAAACTGGACGTCATTGATGATATGCTAGCTGTTCAATTATAATTAGACAGAATGAAACGAACGGCGTTATTTTAAACTAGTTTGAGAGCTTTATGCAGAAAGGCGTGGTTAGGATCCCATATAGAGGCTGCGTATTCCAATTTTGACCGTACAAGAGTGTTATAAAGAAGAAGTTTTAAGTTAACTGGGGCCGTTCTGAAGTTTCGTCGTAGGTGTCCTAACATGCGGTTAGCGTTGGCGATTATTATATCAATATGAGGCTTCCAGGTTAATGTCGACGATATAGTAACACCCAGATAACAGTATGAGTTTACAGATTCAAGTTGAATGTCGGTTAGTGTATATTCTGAAGGGCGTGCGCCTTGCCGGGAAACGCGCATTAGTTTGCATTTGTTACGGTTTAGTTCCATACTCCATTTTTTGCACCAAAGAGTAATATTATTTAAATCAGATTGCAAAATGCGTACATCATCATCATCATGAACTTCCCGATAAATTACACAGTCATCTGCGTATAAATGCATGGAGGAAGAAACACAACCTGATAAATCATTAATGAATATTAGAAAAAGAAGCGGGCCTAAAACTGAGCCTTGGGGCTCGCCCGATACAACATCAGTCAGGGGTGAATTAATGCCATTTAGAGTTACATATTGTGAGCGGTTGGTAAGAAAGTATTCTAGCCAGGTTAACAAGTTAGGATCTAGGTTTAATGAAGAAAGTTTACCCATTAGTAACTTATGACTAACCTT